CAGAGACGGACCCAGACCCAGTCCTAACGAAGGCAGTAGAGGGTAGCGCCACCGACGGTGTAGGCCGCGAGAAATTGAAGCAGATTCTGTGGACGTTCAAAGAGTTGTGGCTCGGTGATGAACTAGGACGCACGACCGTTGTAGAGCACGGGATAGAGGTCACTGATCCCAAACCCATCGCATGCCGGGGAAGGCGGTATAACGACCAGCAGAAGGCGGTCATTGAACAAGAAGTGGCCGATATGTTTAGTAAAGGAGTAATTCGGCCGAGTCGAAGCCCGTACGCATCAGGAGTCGTCCTAGTGAAGAAGAAGACCGGAGAGTGGCGGTTTTGTGTGGACTACCGACCACTCAATGAAGTAACGGTGAGGGACGAATTCCCACTACCGAGGATCGACGATCTGCTGCGAGCAGTAAGGGGGTCACGATGGTTTGTGGCTTTAGACCTTAGGGCAGGATATTGGCAAGTAGCCATGAAGGAGGAAGACATCGCCAAGACAGTGTTCAAGACGCCAACAGGGCTGTACGAGTTCCTAGTAATGCCATTCGGGTTGGTAAACGCCCCTGCCACATTTCAACGGATGGTAGAGAACCTGTTCGGGGACCTATATTGGAGTGGGGTACTAGTATATCTGGATGATATCCGCATCCACGCGGCGACACTAGAACGAATCCTCGAATTACTAGTAGAAGTACTGGCAAGACTTAAGAACAGCGGACTACGACTACGATTGTCAAAATGTTCGTTCCTCCCGAACCAAATCGAATATCTAGGACACACAATAACCGAAGGCCAAATAGCCCCGCAGACCAGGAAAATCGAAGACCTTAGGATGTTAACCACTCCATTTACGTCTATCTCACTACTACTAGTTCGTTGTTTCGTTCTCGTTTTCTCTCTATCTCCCCCTAAAAAGCCCCCCTAAAAACCACTAAAAAGCTAACAACTATGCGTCTTCGGGGGAAGCAAGGCGTCGAAATCATCGGTCTACAATCCAATCCCCCCCTTTCGTGGACTCGACGTCCGCTTCCTCGCGTTCTTCTTCGTCCCCGTCGGTTGCATCGCCTTCTTCTTCGTTGAAGATGGTCGCTCGTACCTGGGCCACCCACGCTCTCATTGGTTGGTTCCGCCTGTGTATAAGTACCTCGGATCGCCCACACTTGTGGTGGTGTCTCTGCTATGGCTGAGAGGGCCCCGACTAGTGTGCGTTTTCTTCTTACCACGTTGATTATTAATGAGTAGGCTAAGGCACTGAGGGGTCCTCTGTCATGAAGGTACCCTATCCTCACCTTGCTGAGCTGGAAGCAGAGGTATGCCAGCTCTACGAACTTGTCATCTCCTTTCTGCTGGAAGATTGGGAGCTTCTTACAATCCTCGCAGTAATCCCCTGCCACCACTGCGTACCCCTCGTCCTTGAGGCCTTGCAGTAGGGTAGATTTGCTGAGACAGGCTGCACCGTCGACCATCGTGAACTTCAGGGCTTCCCATGCGCCGGTATTGATTCGGCGACCGCGAGAGTAAGTCATTAAAATTGTTCTCTCCGACTCCAAATTTTTTGGGTGTGTGCGCCTTGTGTGCGCTTTATGTGTGCTCCCTCCGTTTGGTCCCAGCCTCGGGTTATTCCTCTCGGCGACGTCGTTTTCCTTCGGGTCGACCCTTGTATAGGTGTTAGTTCCTCTGTGGTCGGTACTTCTAGGGTTGGTGGTTCCTCGCTGTTGTTCCTTCCCATTGTAGTTTGCTCTCCCGGTTCTTCTTCGTTGTCGAAACTTAATTCGTAATACTCGGGCTGTTGTCCCAACTTTCGTTGTGGGTCGTCTCTGTTGATTTGTATTCCTCCTCTTCGGTACTCTTCCACCCACTTGCCCAGCTGGTGTTCGTCGAGGGGTGCTTTCTTAATACTCCTGCGTGCCGGTGTTCCCTGTGTCCCGTAACTATGTCTTCTACGTGTGCCCCATGTCCTGCCTTACTAACTTTAACTACCCGGTGGGGGAATCCCCACCCTCGTTCGTGTACTGTCGGGTCTCTTACGAGTACGATGTCTCCCTTTTCTAGGTGTCCTCCTCTCCGTCGCTCATTTCGTCGATCGGCCCGCTGTTGGGCTTCTGCCTGCATCCGCTCGATCGTCTCCTCTCTGGTCTTCGCCAACCATTCTATTCGTTGTAAGTTTGGGT